TTATAGACATGCCCTGTGTTGTTTATCTCCGTAGTCTTTTCCTCATCTGACACATCACATATGGTATTTGGTTATTTATTTATGTGCCTCCTTCCATTAGAATATTAGTGCCATGATATTAAGGGACTAATCTGTTATACCCCAAAGGCCTAGAACAGCGCTGGGCACATAGATACATTCAATCAATATTTGTAGAAGGAAGGATAGATGGATTTGGAGCCATGCTCAAACTGTTCCAGACACTGTGTTAGACACCACATTTGTCCAACTGGAAGCAAAGCTCTAAGTGTATGAAGCAGCATCCCTGAGTTTGGCTGCGTGGCCATAGGGCTCAAAAACCAAGAATGCCATGACGATGTATGTTGAAGTGTTAAGTGCAGTGGGAATACTGGGCCTGAGAAAGAGCCCTATTGGTCTCAAGAACTGGCTGTGACGATGGCTGAGGCTGGTCATAGCAAGGAGCATGGAGGCCAAGCGGTCAAAAGTGAATGGCGGCTTCCCTGAGGAATCTGAGCGCAACAGAATACGTGATGATTTGTGCTGATGTCATCTAGGAGAAATTCACAGTGATGAAGAACTGTCACACAGGTTGATCAGGACACACTGTAAACAGAGAACTTCATACAGAGTGATTTGTAAGCAAGTCCCCTCCTGGAACATATGCAGGCACTGCCTCCAAAGCTGGGGATGAGACAGTGGAAGAAACAGATGAACACTGGACTCTCAGGAAGCTCACGTCGGAGTGGAAAGATACAGGAACATGATGAAAAATTTTTAAAGTAGCGTGTAAGAGAGTGAGGATTAAGGGGAACACGTAGCACAGGAAGGACCAGACAGCAGGCAGGTATTGGGGGTGGGGGTGGAGCTCACATGGGGCACTGCAGTGGGAACTGGAGCAAAGCGTGGCCATGGCCCACACAGCTTCCATGCAAGTCCGGACACCATGTGGTGGGGCAAACCTTGCACATGTAAGCAGTGTACATGGTGGTCTAGAGGTGTGCACTTTGTCAGCAACAAAGATCCAGGTATGGCCTGACACTGTCTTCAGCACTTGGATACATTAGTAAAGAAAAAGGGCAAGAGCACCTGCCACCCTGGTTTCTCTCTCCTGGACAATAACCTTTTTCATAAAACACGATCATGTAGAATGTTAAAAAGTAACAGATGCTAGCGACAAAGAAGAACCAGGTAAGGGCATCCAAAATGCAGGATGGCCAGCGTGTGTGCATTAGGAGGAGTCAGAACTAATAGCACAGAGATGGATCAAAAATGTCTCCCAAGAAGGTCATGTGTTCATAGGTGAGGCTCTAGGAAAGCGATTAGATCATAAGGTGCTGGCATAAATGGATTAATCCATTAATGTGCTGTTAAAGGTTAGGGTCAGGCTGGAAGAAGTAGGTTACTGGGGGCATAAGCTGGAAGGATATATTCTGGACCTGAGCACCTGTTCCTCACCCTCTCTGTCCAGGTACATCAGTGTCAAGAAAAGTCAAAAGATGAGGATCAAGCTTTTCCTTTGGCTTTAACAGCATGGTGGTGACTGCTGAGTAGTAAGGCAAGTTCTATGGAGGTGAGAGAAAAAGCTCCAAGAGAACACCATCAGAACACAATAAGAAGAGAGAAATGAGGGTAGTGGTATGAAGCCCTCTATCCAGTCGCTTCACTATAGAAGGAAGGGTAAAGTGAGGTGATGGTTGGAGAGGAAAGAAAATCAAGACAAATTATTTTCTTTTCCCCAGTGGGAGAAACAGCATGCTTGTGGGCTGATGGGAATAGTCCAGTAAAACTTGCAAATTTGAGTATGCAAAAGGGAAAAAGGAGAGATTCTAAGCCTTAGTTGGGCAGAAGGAGTGGGCTCCGTGCACAAGAAGCTGGTTTCAGGGAAGAGCATGGGTGTTTCATGAGGAGGGGCCCCAGTGGAGGCTAAAAAGTGGTCCAGGGACATCTGTGTGTGTGCACAGGTGATAAGGTCTGGTTAGGTCTTATTTGAAAATTTTTCTCAATGACTAGGAAGCTCTCATATGAGAATGAGGGTCAAGGATGAAGTGTTAGGGATCCACAGAGAAAAGAAGAAATAGTCTTGGAAAGATAAGGGACAGCTGCCAGGAGGTACAAAGAACTTATTCATGGTTTGTGTTTATGAATTTGAAGTCAGACCACTTGGCACAGTTGTGGGGTTTGTCACATGGAGGCAGGTGGGCAGTAGGTGAAAAGTTAAGTCAAGCCTAACCTGAGGTGGTGTTTTACCATGCAAGAATGAAAATGAGAGAGAACAGGGAGTTGAGGGCAGATAAAAGAAGTGGTTATAATTGGCCATGGATTTTAAACAGGCTAAAAGGAAAATAAGGCACAGAAGCATCAGAGACAGTGCATATGTATCAGAACCCAGAGATTGCATACCCCACTGTTAGATCTGAAAATGGAGTGAATAAACTGGAAAGACTGGAGGAACAGCATCTGAAACTGAGATTCAGTGTGGGATGGAGATTATTCCAGTTATTATAAATGACAAAATGAAGGACATGCATGACCTTGGCAGTGCATGGCTGACACTTGGTGAATCCAAGAGCATTGGGAGGCATGAAGTTAAGGGAAAGAGAAAGCAGTAGACTAGATGGAGTATTTACAATTGATACTAAAATAACCAAGAATTATGGAAAAGATAGTATCAAAGAGAATGACAGCATGCAAGAAGCCAAATTCTCCATTTAAAATCTTCTGTAAAAATATGACATACAAGATATGAAGATATTTTTGGCTCATAATAGGCCTTTTTTTCCCTTTTGCTTGTCAGAGGGCTTCAAACTTTATTCTTCTTAAGGAACATGTGTGCTTATTTGTTTTTCTAGCTTATGAATGTCTTACATGGATCGAGTCTTTGTTAGGAAAAGTGCTGTCTGATCTGCAGAGGAATACTGCTTCATGATGCAACTTCCTGGCCACCAGGAATTCAACTCTTTGCCATCTTTCTCACTGCTGTCTCTGAAGAAAATAGTGACTGGCAACTTATTAAATACACCCAGAAGTAGCATTAACAACCTTTCTGAAGGCATAAAGGAGATCCCAACTAAATAGAAATCATCTGTGTCTGGATAGGAAAATTCAGTGTTATGTGGATGTCCCAAAATTAAATGCCATATTCAATGTCTAATCAGAATCTCAATGAGATTGTTTTAGAGCGTAAAAAGTCAATTCTAATGTTCATTTGAAAGAGCGAATATGTGATAATGGCCAAGAAAATATTGAAAGAAAAAAAATGAGGGAGGACTTGAATTCTAGATGTCACACTGTGCTGTTAAAGTAGAGGAAACAAATGCAGTGAAATACTGGTACAGAGAGGAATGTGAAGTTTGTGCAGTGGCAGTCCTCTGTCTACACAGAAAAGTGTATCTGAGGACACGGATGTTTCAAATGCTGGGGAATGGTCTAACAAATAATTGTTGGATATTTATTTAGGGAAAACTTAAGTCCGTACATCATACAATGTATACAACAAATTCTAGGTAGAGCAAAGACCTAAATAATTTTAAAATAGATACTAGAAGAAAATAGAGGAGAACACCTTAATAACAATAGGGGTAGAAAAAATCCTTTGCCAAGACACAGGTTTAAAGCTAGAAGTGAACAGATTTTACTACTTGAGGAACTATCTGAAAAAAAATTGAACAACATCACCATATGTACAAGATCAAGGTGTAAGGACTTCCAGGACAGGCAAAATGTGTTTATTTATAATCCTGAAAGACATTATCTAAAAGAAGATTTTGACGTGTACAGCAATGCATAGAGAATGAATTAAAAGATCACATATACATATTTATGGAGACAAAATATACATATATAGGAAAATAAAAATCATTGAGCAAAATATAATCTATAATACCTTTAAACAGTTTTTAGACACAAACAGCATCTTTCTCTTTGAACTTCCTAGATTCTAGAAAAGAGGGAAAAAATATCTATTATAGGCTTGGTAATATCTGTTAGATAACTATAATTAAGGTGCTTAAGAGATACAGATTCAAATACTGAGCCATGAAAAAAATGTCTCTGGTAGAGTCTTCCTGTTTTTGAAAATAAAAGAGCAATAAACATGTCTGATGTCAACTGACAAACTAGTCATCGAATTTAATGTAGCTGCACAGTGTCCAACAGCTCTGTGGTTGTCATGTTGATAATTCCCAGATCCTGGCGGGGCTCCACCTCTGGCACCCTCACAGTCCCTTCACTGGTTTTTGATGAGAAATCTAACCAAAACAAGCATTTTGTGATTTTCCCACACAGTACTGAGGGGTTTAAGAGGTCACTGGGAAAAGTCACACTGCTCAATACCTTCCCACTCTCCCTCCTCCTCCTCATTGTCCCTTCTGCCTGCCACCTCTGCCCTGCTGCCAGTCCTACCATGCTCAAGTCTCCACTCCATCAGGGAAATTACTCCTCCAGCTCTGGATATGGCACAAGCCAGTGACACCCAAACCGTTGGAACCAAAGTAGGGGATTGCAGTAACCCCCACCCCCAGCCCGCCAAAGACCTGGCCTAAGAGGAAGATACTTACTGTCAGCCTCATACTCTGGATTTGGGAAGCTGCTCTCCCTCCAACCCCTCATCTTCCCACTTCAGGGAAGTCCCCTTCCCTTCTCCAGGCTGGTAAGATAGTATTTCCTCCCTGCCAGGCTGGCAGAGTATTTCACAGAAAGCGCATGGTCCGGACATCTCCTCATAGTCCCTCTTAGCTTCTGCACTGGTTTTAACATAAACTCCTTCTTTTAATCATGAATTTTCACAGTGGAAGTAGAGTATTAAAGGAAGAGAACTGGAAATCACTTCTGGTGTAGGCAAAGTCCCCAGGTGTCTATTTCTACAATTATTCTATAAATAGGGTGTGGCATAAAGGACACTTTTTAGAGCCTCCTTCCATCCTCAGATTGTTGCTTTTGATGTCTTGTCTGAAGAAAGTGTTTTGTGTTTATTTTTTTGTTTGTTTATTTGTTTGTTTCAGCTCTGTGGATCCTGACAAGTGCCTGCTCGTCTATGGTGATGACCAGGTAGGCATGTGGTGTCACGGACCAAAAGGTCATCTGCTGTCCTTTCCAGGAGAGTAGCAAATGCATGTGCGTGGTGTGTCGGGGGGTTCAGGACAGGAGCATCTGTGTCTCCAAGCTGAGATGAACAAGACGGAAAACAGACAAGGAAATGCAGTGTGATAACAAAAACTCTCACAGGAAATGTGTGTGCAAAGCTCGCTTGAGTGCCTGGTGCTCTTAGCCCTGTCTCTTCATCTCACCACACTTCCACAAGGTGGATCATCACTACCATTTGTGAGTATGGGGAAACTGAGACACAAAACAATTATACAAGCTGCCCAAGGAGGTGGCAGAGCTGGGATATGAATTCGAGCAAGTTGAGCTGAATGTGTGCAGTCACTCCTTGGCTTTATTGATTTGCAAATCAACAAGGGAAACGGTCCAGGTAAATAAATGTGTGGAGAAATGAGCCCAGGAGTGGAAGAATCACCCTGAAAGCATCATAGTCTGAGTGCAGGGAAAAATGGCAGCACGAACTTGCTCTGACTTGCAGCAAAGGTTCATATTCACCAGGCCAGAGTGGGAGGAATCTTTTCTCTGTATTTTGCTTTATAGTTAGAAATAAGGCTTCATGTAAAGGTACAAGATTCCCAATAATGAATGTAACTGTACTGTATACCTAAAATGTGCCAATAAACTCAATGAGAAAAAAAAAAGAAATAAGGCTTAAATTCCCTGGGAGAGTAGATAGAGTGATGTAAACACAATAGAAACACAGGGGTTCAATAGCTTAAGGCTCTTCTGGAGAGCAGATCTGGACAGGGCAGGGACTGGAGGACACCATATTCTTCAAGGAGGAAAGAAAGAGGCTAAGAAAGGGGCACGAAAATCTTGATCTCTACCTGGTCCTGCTTTCTCATTTCATTCAGGTGTTGCCTCTTCTCTTTCCCTAAAGCTGTTTAGAGCACATGTTTTTAAGCCTGAGAAGCCCAGGAGAGAGAGCTAATACCCCTCCCTTACTTCAGGCCGCAGCCCACGTGGGGAGTGAGGGAAAGGTCCACGCACTGCCAGCTCTAGGGGACGCCATGCACACAGCATGTGACCTCAATGACGACCTGGATGTGGGCCACTCAGCCTCCAGGCTGGAATCCCGGCAGAGAAGGCTGGAGAAGAAACGAGGTGGCAGAGGGTCCACCGTACCCCGTGGTTACCAGCTCCCGTAAATGGGGCTGCCTAGCGCTGTCTCGTCCTGGCTGCGGTCCAGGCTAGTTAGTTCCCTCCTGCAGACGCCAGCCAGGAGAGCAAGGCAGGGCCCGCGACATTGCCTGTTCATTAGAATGCAGGTTCACTGGTAAGAATGCAAATGATTCATTTCACTTTCTCCTCCTGACAGACCGTGCTGGTAGCAATAACGGGCTGCTCCCTACACCTGTCACCGCTGCTGTTCTGCTCACTTTGTGTAAAGGGCTTGCCACACTTCAGGTGTATATATAGCAACCGTCGTTAAAGCACGCGCTGTGGAGATCTGATCATCTACTGCCCCCTAGTGGGCTCCAAGTGAATGAGACAGTATACGTACTGTTGCCCTCAGGATCTGGGCGAATCAGGGTTGCGTTTTATTTCAGGAATAGTTTGCAGCTTCTGCTGCTTTCATCTTTCTCGCTAGTATCTGTGGTTCCTAATTAACAGCCCTGAAATGGAACAAAATGTCAATCAAGAGTGACTCTGTGGAGCTACATGTAAATGTTAAAAAGTCACGACATTTTCAAACAGTATTTAAGGCCTCATTTGATACTCATTTTAAAAATCATATATACATATATATGGATAGGGAAAGGCTTGAAGTGAATATAACATTAAAGAGCTCAGGTTTCCATTTAGCACAACCTCAGGTTGTGTGTGAGAGAGGAGTAGATTGTTTATGTGGCAGAAGCAACAGCTCTGCCTGCCGTCACCTAATCTGTCACTTAATTGTTCTTTGGCAGCTTTCAGGGTTTGCATAATTTGCAAGACTTGATCGTCATGTGTTTTGGTCAGCTTTCCATCCCTGTGACAAGATACCTGAGAAAACCAATTTAAAAGAGAAAAAATGTATTTTGGCTTATGGTTTGAGTTAATGGTTGGCAGGCTCCAAGGGCCTGAGGTGAGGCCTAATATCATGGTGGAGAGACATGGTGGAGGAGAGCTGCTCACCTTATGACAGCCAGAAAGCAGAGCAAGAGGGAAAGGGCTACAGAAGAAAGGGTAGGGAAAAAAATATAATCTCCAAGGGCACACTTCAGTAACCCACTCCCTTCTGTCCATTGTCTCCCAGTAATGCCCTCAAATTATGATATCACCAATGGATTAATCCACAGATGAAGTTAGAGTCCTTGTCACCCAATCACTTTTTGAAATCCCTACCTACGAACACATAACATTGGTGGGGATGTTTTAGAACGATTGCATCGTGTATCTCTAGAATCAGGGACTCAGTCCTACTCAGCACAAGGGAAGACACACTTGTGAGCTGCTAACAAAGACTGGGGAACCTTGTTCATTACCCTACTACCAAGGTTTCTTTGATGAGAAATAATCTCCACAACATCTATAGATTGTTGCACCAAGACCAGGATCATACATTTAAAGATCTTTCAATAATATTAATCAATGTTACATTTAGTACTTTAAGAAAGCTTTTTCTTAAGAAGGCATAGCATTTTTACATTCTCTGAGCCATTTCTCCATTGCCAGGACTTGAACAAATCCTAGAGTTTGATGAATTTTCTCCTCTTATAGCATACCTATAGATTAGAATAATTTTCTTTACATGGCCTAGACTCTTGCCACCAAGATTTCCATGACAAAGTCTGAGCCAGATCAGATTTTCACCAGTACACGTAGAATGGTGCTAGTCATGGTATGTACCACCTTTGAGAGAGTTGAACAGTTTCTTAAATTATATTCTGTGCCTAGTGGTTCGGATGAGGAATCCAGACTCAGAATAGCCACAGAAGGAGTGAGGCAGGTGAGGGGCTAATATCACAAAGACACTCTCTTCGGGACAGCCCTTTTCAGGTAATTCATTTATTTTAGGCTGACTGGGGCAACTTCACTCTGATGATAGGAAACTTCCAGGACAGGAAAGTATTGGTGAGAATGCTTTGGTGTATTGACACAGAGCAGACCTCAAATTTTTCCAATCTCTGTAGACAGAAATTGCCATAAGTAAAGTACTTCAGAATTCTTCCTAAACAAACTAGTTTTCCTCAGAACCTTACAGGAAGTGCTGCTGCTGATTCATTGGATCAAATTTTTCCTCCTGAGTCAGAAGTGAATGGAAAGTGCTGCTCAGTGTGGAGGTCGGTGGGCCTTTACCTGCCCAGTGGGGTTCAGCATGGGGTAGAATGGAGCTGCTCCCTGAGCAGAGATTTCAAGGGCTGCTGAAGACCAGAAGTAAATCTTCACCCCAAAAACCTTTTTATTGCAATAATGAAAGTAAAATAGGCTGGGAGTACCATTCAGTAGAGTAAAACCAGTCAACCGGGTTACCTTTTCCGTATGTCCCATTAGAGCCCAATGAAGTTGTCTGGTAGCCCATTTTGTTAGATTTGGGCCAAATGCCCTCCACTGGCCCCATTGTACCTGATCTAGTTTCAGTCAGTATTTGTATTTTCTGGACCATGAGACCCCAGAATGGAGTGGTCATCTGGTCTACCCCTAGCATCTATAGCCAGTATCCTCAGGATATCATGGCTTGTGAAGACCTTAGGCCAAGACTGAATTAAGTCTAAGGAGTAGAGAGAAGACAATGCAGAAAGGGAGTCAGTTGTGCCTGAAAGCTAAGAATATTTAATCTAAAGAATTTTATAAATAACCTAGGAAAATCAATACAAAACACCTCTAAAATTATTTCATAGTGCACATTACAAACATCAAAGGATGCATCAGTTTTCCTGCTCTCTAACCTTATACTGCTGCTTCATCTACTGAATCACCTGGCTGCCCTATGCACCTGGTGGGTATGTGAAGTGATACTGCAGGCAGATGCAAACAGAGGCAGAGATACTGTTCCAAGCTGGCTCAGTCATTCAGCTGAGAAGCTGGATTTCCTGGAGGCTTCCCACACTCCATGCCACTACACCCACTCCAGCTGAGCTCTGGCCAAGCTGCCTTGTTGGCACTTCTAAGCATGTTTTATGGAAGGGTTTCAAAGCTGCTGCTGCTGCTGCTGCTGCTGCTGCTGCTGCTGCTGCTGCTGCTGCTGCTATTGCTGCTGCAGTGGCTCTAACCTGGCCTTTCATGTCTTAGTCTAGACAGATGCATGATTGAATAAAGGATTCATCCAAGCCCTGTGTCACATTGGCCATCTGGAAAGTAGCCAACCACTCATTTAGCAAATTGCTCTGTTTAAATGCAGCCGCTGTGTCTCAGCATTTATGCAACCAAGACAGATCTCATGATTCCTCTTCCTTCATTTATCTAAGCTGCTCCTCTCAATCTGCAGAGGAACTTAAAAAGGCTGTTAATGCACGACAAGGCACTTGACCCGCATGATTTCCAAGCCAAGGGGGAACATCCATCTTGTGCTGGGTTGTCCTTTCCTCAAAAGCAAGGGCACATTGCCTGTGCTCCCTGTCTTAATGAAGGCTGCTTTTATTAACAATTGCATTAAGCTCCACAGTGCTCAGCCATCCAACACTGTAAATATTACCCTTTAGGACTGTACCCAGGGGCCTGGCTCAGGAGGCTGGCCTGGTAGCAAGTGCTCACCGTGCAGTCAGGAAAGCAGTCTGATCTCTGTGGAGGGAATGGTGTTGTTTGACAGGCTGATGCCCCTCTCCAATTGGAAAGATGGATTACAATCCTTAGTAGATAATGTCAACAAAACCCCTGAGATGATTTGAATTAGAGTTGGAGGCAAAATGGCTTCAGAATAGCAATGAGCTTCTCAGGTGTTTTACCTGAGTTTTCTTTTCTCCAAAGGAAGAAATGGACGGAGGAAATCACCAGAGGCTAATCAATTATTAGGAGGATATCACTGGTCACTTTGACCTGGTGTTGATTGTCATCTGTTATTTACCAGGGCAAATAATCCTGGTCATCATTGCTTTCATAAATTTTCTGGCTCATTTGTGGTCATGGTATTATTAAGTCTGGAAGCCAAGGCCAAATTCAATGAGTTCATCAAATAAATATATGCTCAGATTTTAGTTAGGCCCACTGAAAAAGAATAGCAAAATAAATAATCTTTGCAATCACACCATTTTTGGGGGATAAAAAATAATAGTATTTTCTAAGTAGGAAGGCATGTGGGCTTGGAGTCAAATCCCAATGCCATTTTGGGAAACTTTACCCTCTGAAGCTCAGTTTCTTCATCTCAAAATCAGATGGACAGTTATCTCTTGCAGTTAGTTTTAGGAACAATTGAATCTGTCCTTAAATATAATAAGAACAACAAATCCTAATGATATAGGATGCATGACCTTGACTTTTAATATTGGAAGCATTCAGAGGAAATAAGGAACATTGTGGCAATAAAGAACAGTGAGGCAATCTTTATGAATCAGCTCCATACTGAAGGAAATGTCAACCCTGGGTGGGGAAAAGGTATCAGATGAATGGAATAATGTGAGCAAGATGTAGAGTTGATGAGTGGGAACGGAGGCTGGGTGAACCAGAGGAAAGAGCTCCAATGTAGGGCATAGGAATGAAAATATTGAATTAATAAGGGAACCCACTGATGAGACATTGAAAGTCAAGGTCAAGGGTCCAGTGGTGGCAAACCTAAGCCACACATGCCACATCTGGCTGTTTGTTATTACTGAAAGCTCTAAAGGGTTCACCATGCATCACTGTGATAGATCTGATCTGATTGGCAACAGGTGACAGTTCTTATTTCTTTAGAGGAAAGTGGCAGGTAACTGTGAGTTGGAAATATTTATATGGTTTCAGGGAACAGGGTAGTAGTAATTCATTAGAGAAATGCAAAGCTGAAGATCGGGTCCAGGGCCAGGTCCTATTCCAGGCCTGAGAGTGAGAGGCTCTGTGGAGGTGGCTGCAGGATGGATAGGATCGAATGAAGCTGGTGATTCCTTCCACAGTAGATAGACCTACTGTCTATATCAATGCCAAGTAGACAGGCAAAGGAAAAGGAAAGAAAAACCAGTCTTATAGAGGCAATTTAGCCTTGCCAGACACTAAGCTGGATGCTTTCTTAACCATACTTGTTGAGCCAGC